ACAATTTGTTTGGACTTGACGTCTTCCCCATAAGATCTCATCTTCTGCACAATTGAGGCGATTCTAGAAAGGTAGTCTTGGATGATTTCAATATCTTTCATTTTTTATTTTCAAACTCTCTTCTCAAAGACTGTAATCACATGGATATCACCCTCTTGTCTCCCATGTACTCTTGCTTGAGAATGTCCCAAGCCTCCTTTGATGTAGAAGCTGCAACAATCCTTGGAAAGACATCATCATCCAAGGCTTGCTGGATAAAATAGAGAGCCTTAACATCCTTTTTTCTTTTATCCCGCAACACTTGATCTGGTTCTTCTAGTTGAGCATCTTCAAATCCATCATCAACAATGCCCCACAATTCCCTAGACTTGAAAAGGGTTTTCATTTTCAAACTCCAAAAAAGGCAATTGATACCTTTGAACATGGGCAACTGAGATATAGAATTCCCAGTTCCGGTTCCATTAGTGGCAGCCATTGTTGTTAGATATGCTGTGGTGTTTGGGCTAGGTTATAGTGATCTCTCAACCTACGAATACACACACTCTCACACCCTCAGATCGCCCACCTTTGGCTCTGATACCAATTGATGGAACTAAAAAAAAATATGGAGATTAAAATTGAAGGGAACTCAGAATAATGTATTGCTCTCACTATTAATGAAATGAACGAACATGGCTATATATAGCCTTTCTTAGTAACGGAAAATAAAGCACACGTTAGCCACTAACAACCATCCTAGTAACGTGGCATTACTAACAAATGATTGAGTAAACAAAGCTAACAAACAAATGACATAATCAATGCCTAAAGAATAGGAAATAAAATAAAGATTTGTTCTTCTTTATCCCGGCTTCATGCATAGCTCTCCACGTATGCATGTTTCAAGTTTGATCATGTTCAACACTATGTACTCGTCGAAGGCCAAGGCAGAATACAGGGGAAGTCTCCTGCGGCGATCATTGCGGCAGCCTTCTCCCCAGCGACGAGCTACGGCGGTCCTGTGAGCGTCGGAAATGGACTGGTCGATGGTGGCTCTTCTCTTCCCGGCGTGAACTCAGCACGGTATCGTCCCTCCTCCTCCATGATGACAACTACCTCCGGTGAACACAGGGATGGCCGTGTTCTACCATTGCCCAAAGCCGGCATGTGAATTCGGACATGCAGACCAGCACGAACTGTTGGCAAATCTTCTCCTCCAGCGAAGACGGCCTGGTTCCGACGTGAAAACCAGTCTGGCAACGACTCCGCCGAGCGATTGCTTCCTCTCCTCATGATCGTTTCTCATTCTATCACTCTAGATCTCTTCCTCTCTCATAGGCCGAAGGTTTGAGGTAGACCTGCACAATACCGGGTCGGCCCGCCCGGCCCGCCTGACCTGCCCGGCCTGCCCATATAAATGGGCGGGTTTGGACACATGCTTTAGCCCACCGGGCCGGGCCGGGCCCGGTCCGACATGTTTAAAATATGGGCGGGCTTGGGTTGTAATATAGGCCCGGTCGGGCCTAAAAGCCCGGCCCGTAAACATATCATATATATTATATTGTATATATTATTCTATATATAATTATACAGTATATGACTATACATATAAAACTTAAAATACTTGGAAGTATTAAGGTTTGAACTGTAATGATATACATTTGTTAAGTCTTTTTGGAGATACTCTTGACTATTTCCGCTGCACATTGTGAATCTGTGATTGTGCTTTTAATTATGGGATATGGATGCTTATTTGGAATTTGGATGCTTTTTGTTTTCCAGAATCGTTTTGTGTATTGCATTTAAATGTATTCTTGTGTTCAAAATGTGTTGTGAGTACATTAATTATTTAATTGCATTTAAAATGTTGTGATGTTATTTTATAAATGTTTTCATTTATCTAAAAGAGTTGACAAAAGGATATTTTCCGGGCCCAAAAGCCCGGTGGGCAGCCCGGTCCGCTCTCATGGGCGGGCTTGGACATATGAGGAGGCCCGTTTTACCGGGCCGGGCCGAGCCCGCCCACTACAAGTGGGCAGATTTTTTAGAATAAGCCCGGCCCGAGCCCGGCCCGAGCCCGTGTTTGTGCAGGTCTAGTTTGAGGGTATTTTTAGATCTGGTTTTTGGGTGTAGAGAAGAGTTGAATTTATACCTATATATGCGTATATATGAATACACCTCTGCTGTTATTTTGAGTTGGAGGAAACACAAGTTAAGGTTTTGTATTTATACTGATAAGGGGAAGATCCTCGGCTGGTGAAATACTATGCGATCGATTCTCAAGCGTAGTTAATTACTAATTTACTATACGAAGTTTCCTCTGATCAGTTCGTAAGTTTCCTTAGAGGCTTGGACTCCGAGTATGAAACGACATCACATGATTCGCAGCTAGGGTGTAAGTGTGTATCTTAAGCATAGTTACGACCAGGTACGTAATATACATGAATCTGTAACTTGTATATGGTTACTATTATGGGTTTGTTCATAGGTATATATATACTAACATAAAAATACATATACGTAGTATGTGGTTGTCTAAACGTGCGTACGTACGTTAGGTTTGCGAATTATAATTACCATGCTTTATTATTTGTTAAAGTCACATTTTTTATTATTTTACGATAATCACATTTGATTATATTCTAAGAGCCACATATCATTAATTGATGTCTTTGGATTAACATATTTAAATGTTACCTTTGTCATCTACTACCTATACCATATGTATAGTTGTGACTTGTTTATAAAATGTCACTTTCATAATTATCATAAAATGTCATTCCTTTTATTGAAACATTTTTTATTTGATTAAAAATGTCACAAATGTTAAAGTTTTATCTTATTCACTGAATTATTAAAATCTCACTTTTGAAACATTTTATCTTACTTATAAAAATATTTTATTATCTTTTTCGAAGGGTCACAATCTACCATCCTTAAAAGATGCTTAGGCTCGAAGCATAAGCTACTTTCTAGGGTCAACGGTATAAAATTTCTAGGTGTTACATTCTACCCCCTTGAACATAGGTTACGTCTAGGGTTGGTTCGGTACGGTATACCGAAATTTCAACGCCATACCGCATACCGTACCGAAAATCCGGTATTGGTAAATGTCATACCGTTACCATACCGAAACTTTCGGTATACCGAAAATTCGGTACGGTATATAACCCATACCGTTTTATACCGAAAATTCAAAAAAAAATTCTTGGCAATTCCGTATAAAGTATTAGCTTAAGGGGCCTACCGAACATCCAAAAAACTGATTTTAACAAGTCAAAAGTAGCATACGACATCAATACATAAACCGATACCAAAATTAAAACACAATATTTAATCCAAAGTAGAAAATACTAAAATTATGTGCTAATATCTCAAGTCTCAACACAATCCATAATGAAAATTAGAATATTTATCCAACATAAATCAATGATAACTAATGTTTGTAATAACAAATCTTTGAATCATTGTTGCAACTCCGTATAAATAAGAGATTTTTCAACTTTGGTAATATGATGGTCGTCCGCCGTATAAATATTTTATCAATATACTTTATCATTTGTTTATAAATATAGAATGAGCATAGATCAGATTGTTCATATTACCAGGATGGTTAAGCTTTAGCAAATAATGACGGTCGTCCGCTACTCCGTGCTTCGTCAATGGCGTCTTCGTCACTCGTCCGCATCTCCATCGTCAATGCTCAATAGTCCACAGCTCTGTCACTCGTTGAAGAGAAGAGAAGCTGCTTGACTCTACGTTGATTTATTTGGGGAGAATTTGACTTTGCACCCCATGTTTTGGGTGATATTTGAGTTTGCACCCTATTTTCAAAATCATTAATGTATGCACCCCAATTCACTATGAAATTATTTGACTTTGCACCCCACTCCTTCACAATTTTTGGGCTAATGGGGTGCATACATTAATGATTTTAAAAATGGGGTGCAAAGTCAAATATCACCCAAAACATGGGGTGCAGACTCAAATTCTCCCATTTATTTGATTAGGGATTTAGGCCTCTACTTGGGAGAACTAGAGAAGGGCCGTAGTATTATAAGATGGGTTATTTTAATTTTGGGCCTTGGTATTTTAATAATTTCATTTAATGGGTTTGGCCCTAAAAATTTACAAATTCTATTTCGGTATATCGATATTTCGGTATATACCGTACCATACCGAAAATTAACGGTATTTCGGTATATACCAAAATACCGAAAATTTAAAAAATTCATACCTTTACCGTACCGAAGTGACCCGGTATGGTATCATATCGTACCGAACTTTTCGGTATACCGAAAATTTCGATAAATTCGGTATTTTTCGGTATGGTATGGCCGGTATACCGAAATTTCGGTATATTTTCCCACCCCTAGTTACGTCCCCGTAACTAGCTAGAGTATTACCTTACTCAAATAAATTCGAATAGCATTTTGCGCATATCATCCTCGATCTCCCCAAGTGACATTTTCGCTCAACATATTGACCATAAAGCGTTCATGTATTATTTTGACCACTTAACTTCTAGTCTCACGAGTCTCTTAAGTACTAAAGCATTTGAAAGGCTACTTTGTTATCTTAAGTATACAAGTCCTTAACTAAGTTCGTATCCAAATTCTATCACATAAAGGTATTTTAAAGATGCTATAAAACTTCATATATTTCACAATTTAATCATATAATAGATCAAAGTCTCACACCATCTCCACGTTCCTAAAAGGTATTTCCTAATCATTTTCATTTCCTAATTTGTATAAAAATGTTTTGAAAACTGTTTAGAAAACTTTTTAGAACAAAATATTTCTAAAAGTCCCTAGAAAAACCTTTGGAAAAACATTTCAAAAAACCCCCAAGAAAAAACTTAAGCTCTGATACCAATTTGTAACACCCCCAAATTTCCTACCCAAAACAATGACATATAATATATATATATATATATATATATATATATATATATATATATATATATATATATATATAATCCAGAAGGTAAACCACCAAAATCAGTGGGGCAAATGTCGGGGGAACATTTGTCAAATTTTATTGAGAAAAATGGAAATACAAAATGAAGAGGGAGACTCGACCAAAACCTCTTCTAGAAGACATTCCCTCTAAAAATACAACAAGTAAGTAAAAGAAAGCTCAATTGGGGAGGGGGGGGGGGGGGGGGCTAGGCCTTACCCAAAAGAGTTAAAAATACAACAAAGAATTCAATGAGCATGTAAACTAATAGAAACATCTGAAAGAGGGCAGCCCAAATAAATCCCTGAAATAAGCTTGACGGGCCGTTAAAGGCAATTCTTTGGGTCGACGAAAAATTTGCATTTGAGTTGTATAATGAACTGCTAAATGGTGAGCGGCCCAATTACATTCACGCAGGGTATGTCCAATAGATACTCGTTGCCTAATTTGAAGGTGATTCATCTCCTGAATTAGGCCATTCCACCGACCGCCTATCTGGTCGAAACAAGAGAGCACCTGCGCCGCATCAGTCTCAACAAGGAACTCCGAGTAGCCTTCCTCAATCGCCCATCTGGTAGCAGTAAAAATAGCTTGAATCTCTGCTTCCAAGCTCGTGGAAGCTATCAACGGAAATGAAATTGCAGCGACCAGCTCACCATTTTGATTTCTCAAAATCGCACCTCCTCCTGCTCTCCCAGGTACATCAGTATTAAGTTTCATATGAGTCTGAGACTTAATCCACCGAAGAGTCTTGATTTTAGTACCTGAAACCCAAAACAATGATATATTTAAAAGAAATACTTTATTCATTCACCATATTGTTGAAGAATTACAGCGGAAGTTTAAAAGGGAAATGGGTGTTACTGCCACATCCGGTCATCTCTCAACCGAATGCATAGGCAACCAAAACAAAACAATAAAAACTAAATAAATAAATGTTTATTTCCAGACTAAATTTGACTAAGGCATCTTCTAATTCGCTCTCAAACTCGAGCAATCCATCAATAAACATAGGTATCCATATCCCCACCTGTTAAAATTTAAGGGAGGAAAGAGGGACAAGAGAAATAACAAAAATTAGCTTTAGAGCTAAGTAAGTACTACCCAACCCCGTAAAATAATCAAGTTTGGCGAAAATAGTTTTTCATAGAATACTATATAAAAAGAACTCACACCACCAAAGTTCTTTTCTCTTTGATTTTTCTCAAAATCGCTTCTTTACTAAAATCCTCAACTTCTCTTCGAAAATATCATAGCAACTCTTCTCTTTGAATTTCTCAAAAATCTCTTTTTCACTAACTTCCTAGTAGTTTAGAAGGGCGGTGCTCAACCTTTTGACTGAGCCCGATGGACCGTGGTTATGGACGGCCACCCCGAACAAGTGTTGGTACCACAACTGCTCTTGTAGAAACGAAACGACTACCTTAAGTGTGCACACCCCCTAAAAGGGATTCCAAGCCCTCCGAGTAGTAAGTCATCCCGAGTGGTCGGAACCCAACCATCCCACCTTTAAAATTCTTGAATGATTAGGGACTACTACTATAATTTTTTCTTAAAAGGGATGATAGATCCAAATGTCACTTCAAACTCAAACTATACTTCTTAATTAGTAGTAGCAGCCCTAATCACCCTCCACATTTATTCGGATGTGGAAAACTGACACCACAGATTTCTCCCGGGTGCTCACTTCTTATGAAAACGTACATTTTATCTTGAATTAAAATATACTTCAAAAAATATTTCTCAATTTCTCTAAAAAGTCTCGAAGGTATTATAAAATATTTAATACCCCAAAAGTACTTAATTTATATTTCTCAACTACCATATATATATAATATCTCCTCAAAATCACATACACAAAATTCACAATTCACACTTAATCACATACTGCATAATAAACATATAATACGAGGAAACAATTTTGGATTGACAGAGAAACTTACCTCAAGTCCTGATGCTCCTAGTTCTTTTCCTCTATTCTTGTCTCTAATGATCACCTTTTTATTTAAGATGACACAATTAGTCACTAATTCTATTTGTTAGTAATTTAACTGATTCCCCCCTTATACTATTTTTCGGATACATACATACATACATACATACATACATACATACATACATACATACTGTAACACCGCCCCCGAGTATTTGTACTGTACCAAATTATGTATTGAACCTTGAGAAATGTATAAAAGCATTTTTACGTGATTGTAAATTTTTATCATTTCTATTACGTGAATAGTAAAATTCACGTGGGGCCCACACCGGATGTGGGGCCGCCCGATATTATCGGGACCACATATTATATTAATCTTGGACTAGATAATATGCATATGGTGGTGGATACCCAAATTGGGCCATGACGATGGCACAAGGTTGACCGGTTGGTCAAATGGGCCAAATTATCGGTATCGGGAAATTTATCAGATAACAGCCCAGGAAGGGATTTCGGAGACTTCTAAATTAAATTTGGGGAATGCATATTGATTCTAAGGTCCAATAAGGATGGGGAACAAGTGTTATATTTTATTTGACCCGATAAAATAAAATATACTTAAAACAATCCGGAAAATACAACTTTCGGGGCCGATTGTACACCCCGGGACACAAAGGGTTGACCTCCCACATGAGTGGGGGCCAACCCACGTTTTTAGGCTTTCAAATGAAGGAGGGAGCCGCATCATGGAGCTGGAATTGGTTGGGAAGTGATTGGGGGACAAATATGTAAGTTGAGGGGACCCTCCCCCCCATATTATTTGGGGAATAAGCCAAAAGGGCTATCTCCCTCACCCCACAACTGATACATCTCGGCCAGCCTACTCAAAGAGGAGAAAGAAGGTCTGCAAACTTCATTGTTATCATCCATACACGCACCAAGAACAAAGGAGGAAGAAGGAGGGGAAAAGAGAAGAGGAAAAGTTGGTTTCGGAGAGGAAAACTGGTGTTTAGCAAGGTAAGGACTCCATTAATCCCATTTCTTGTTCTTCAATACTCTTTTATGATTATTCAATCATATTTCACACCCTAGTAAATGATACAGAATACTCCAGGTGGGGTCGAGTACCCTTGGACGGTAAATGATCCAGAATACTCCAGGTGGGGCCGAGTACCCTTGGACGGTAAATGATCTTAAATACTCCAGGATGGGTTGAGTGCCTTGGACGGTAAATGATCCTAAAACACTCGGTAGTATGAATTGAAGGTAGACTATAGCTTGTGAGCTAGGTAACCGGGAAAGGAGTGAGAAAAGTCAGGTAAGAACTTTATCTCTAAAAGACTCTTTAAGGTAAATGACCTACGGGTTGAGTAATTTACGAGTATATATACAGTATGTATCATCGGGTGGATGAGGGACATCTATATGTATATATCACCCTATCTTTGGGTCTCGTGTCTGAAACATTAGTTATTCTTCATATAGCCTGCTTGTCACTAGTACTTCTATGGAGTACTGACCCCTCCGGGGGCCCTCACATTTTTCAGGTTGAGGCTAGAGTCCTACTACCTGCACCTTTGCCTAGGGTAACTGATCGAGAAGGAAGACGTGGTTCGTGCTTCCATTCTTATTTCAAATGTATAAACCGCTCATGGATTTTTGAACAATATTTTCATTAAAACAGTTGGGGGCCTGCGTGCCCGTGTTTGCCACGTGTGGCTAAGTATCAAACATTTTATTATTCCGCATTTGTTTGATTATGATATTGATGTTGATTGTATGTGTTTACTAATCGGTTTGGCAATAGAATCAATCGGACGCCTTGTACAATCCAATAGGGATGAACTGTTGTTGTTCCTATCGGGTTGTACGGCGGTTGTCTACGTGGCTCGGATGCGGTCCGGGGCGTGACAATTAAGTGGTATCAGAGCCATCGATTTCTAAACTATATAATTAACCTCTCAATATGGTTATCCTCAAAAAGTTTTGAATAAAACCATGAGCAACAGTTTTTGTACTTAAGGAACCGTTGGAAACCAAGTTATTGACCTCTTATTGTTAAGACGGTACCCTTAACAGTTTGTTGGCCATAATGTTGGACCAAGTGGTGTCTTTTGTACTACTCCGTCAATTGACATTGAAACGAGTCTAATGACTCATTCCTTATTTCTTTCAGAAATGGAGGGTGGACGCAGGATAACTAGGAGGAACCCGACAGGGCATGTGTCGGGGGCCACCGGGCATGCCACTCGGGCGGAATCACGGACCTCTAGGGGTAGAGGCTGGGGCCAAAGCCGAGGAGGAGGCCGAGGCAGGGGTCGTGGGCGTTCTACCACGCCGACGACAAGTAGCACACGCGTCGGTTCCGTGCACCCGTCATGGGCCACCGAACCGGACGACTTCACCTATGCTCCAAGCACAGAGCAAGAGGAGACCCCGTACAACGGGGAGGACTTTGAGGAAGAAGATGAGGATGATGATCCTCATTATGACCGTATGAGTGAGGTACTAGAGTGGTACCTCGAGAATAAAGCAAGGAGAGAGCAGCGGCGCCAAGCTAGACAGGCTAGGCAAACCATGGGGCAGGGAAGTCGAGGTGCTTCTAGTGCTCCATCTGGAGCATTTGGGGGAGACACGATGGTGCGTATCTCCAAGTATCTCAAGGAGGCCAGGGCCTTGGGGTGCAAATCATTTGATGGCAAGGGCGACATATCTGAGGCCGCCGACTGGATTAAGAAGCTGAATGATGCTTCTAGAGATATGCAAATTGGACTCGACGTGAAGTTGAGGGTTGCCACCAGGCTACTAGAAGGGGTAGCTGTTGTATGGTGGGAAGGCATGGAAGGAAAGTTCCACGGTGAGGCCACTCGGGAGAAGTTCGAAGTGGAGTTCTATAATCAGTACTACTCAACTTTTGAAGTCAATCTCAAAAGAAGAGAGTACACAAACCTGAAACAGGAGGATGGTTGCTCGGTGAGGCAATTGGAACAAAGGTTCCGTGACTTGGCCCGATTCATCCCAGAATACTCTTTGGATGAAAATCGTATGGCCAATCATTTTTGGGATGCTCTACAGTTGGACATCCGTGACCGGGCTACTTACCATCACAACATGACATTTAGCCAGATTGTCGATCAGGGGCTCCTTGGGGAAGCCCAATGGAACGAGAGGAAGTTGAGGGACGCCGAGGAGGCGAAGAAGAGAAGATGGGGAAACTCGGGACCCCAAGACCACTCCCGGAAGCATCACGCTGGGGGTGGCAATTCATTCAGGGCGCCGGCACCACCGGCGAAAAGGAACAAAGGTTCAGGAGGGCAAGGGCCCAAACCGGGGGGTGTGGGACCACCCAGGTGCGCAAACTGCGGTAAGAACCATGGGGGAAGGTGCAATGAACCACCCCGGTGCTTCAAATGCGGTAGCACGAGCCACCTCAAATCCTCTTGTCCAATGCTGAACGGGGGAGGACCATCGGGAGCCATGGGAGGACCTACGACTAGTAGGGGACGTGCGGGACCGTCTCAGGCCGGCACGGGAAGGAGCGGACCCACGGCTAGCAACGCCGCGTCCGTTAATCAAGGGAGGACCCAAGCACGGGTGTATGCAATGACCGAGGCTGATGCTCGGGCCAACCCGGACTCCATTGCAGGTAATCTCTTGATTTCACACGAATTTGATTATGTAATTGGTTGAAAAATCTTCAAAAATATGAAGGACCCGATCGGGTGCCCCTATAGACCCGACCGGGTATAAGCCACGCTTCGAGTTTGAAGTATGCACCCGTTCGGGCAGCCAAGGCAGGATGCTTTATTTTTGACATTTCGAGCAATAC